AGGAATTTTTGGACCAAAATTTGAGACTTTTCTTGCTGAGTCTGTACAGGATATAGGTACTTAGAGTAGGTTCTATAGGTCCCCAACAGTTTTGGCAGTCTGTCATTGGAACCTACCACCTTAAAGGCAACTAATTTAAGTATCAGAGGATGCTATTACGTCCTTCGGGGTTTGGACCAGGTTGTCTCATTTTAAGCACTTGGAAATGTAGGTACAAATACATTTGATATGGACATTTTAAAATTTGACTGCAAAAACGTTAGAAAATTAAGGCACAACATACTCTGTAGGAACCTTTTTAATGGATTATAAAGGAGAAAACAGGAGAAAAATGAATTTGTTTTAGCATTAGCAGCAATAGTAAATACAGACTAATCAGGTGAGAGCTGTATCATCTTTCAGTTGCTGTATGTTCCCTTTCTTTGATATACTGAGAAAATTTGACAGTAAAAATGTGAGATTTACTTTCACAAATGTTTGGAATAAACTCAAGCTTTCTAAGAGAATTTCCTAAAACCATGGGGAAGCAATGAATTGCAAGAATTCGGCAATCCTTGTTACCTAAAAACTTCTTTCATAGAAGAGAGATGGTATTTTAAGTAAGGCTTTTGATTTGGCAGTGTATCAACTAGGATAAGAGATCTACTCAACTTCAGTGATGCAGGCTGCCTTAGAATAGGTCTTACGCTGTTGTCAGATCAAAAGATTTTATTTCTCAACTGTCTCAAAATGCGTGTAAGACATTATCTGTAATACTAACACTTTTGAAAGTCTTATGTATTTCAGGATGTATATTTCAGTTAAAGTAGCAGGATATGGCTTAGTGTGATCTCGCTCTCATTTGACTGGATGGAAGATTTAAGGTTGATTTCAGTGAAAGTGGGGTCACTTCTTTTATCAGTACTCTGTTGCAGAATGGGCAAGTTTGAGTTATGATCTTCTCAAAACTCTGATTCTTAGGCCTGTCATGGTAGAGCAGAGGCAGCAATGCTTTTGTGGTTTGGGAAGTGACATCCTCAGTGGTGACACCAGGCAATAGACTGCTTTTGGTTTCTGGGCTACTTCTGCAAAGTTTTGCATTTGACCTGAGAGGCCAAATCAAGAATTGCTTCTCAAATGACTAAGTCAAGCAAAGAGAGCTTCTCCATCCAAGGCAAAAACATATACAAGAAAGCTAAGCTGATTAATATTTAGAGATGTATTTTAAAAAGGATAACTTCACTTTTACCAGAATCTTAGGTTTTTATTTAAAACTAGGATAATTCTTTATTTATATTCTCCAGTTACGCTAGCTTGGTACTTCAACCAGTATCAAAGAGTAAGAGTGTTTTGGACTTGGTAGTTGCTGACTTTCTTCAGACTGTTTGAATATTATTATAAAGTTTATGTCATGATGTTATTAATATTATCACTTACTATAACTGAAAATACGGAATTACAGTACAGTCCTTGCTCCCAAAGCTTGCAGTTTATTTTACTAAAAAGAATAAATTGCAGGAAAAAAAGTCCCATTTTTGTGGTTATAGAAGAAAAAGCTTTTCAGCTTATTCATTAATCTTTCTTTGTCCTCATCTTCATACTTCCATCATTAATCTTTCTCATTCCTGATTGGATGTTCCACTAGTATGCTGTGTGTGATGCCACAGATATTTGTGGTTATCCAGTCTACATCTCCCTTTTTAACTAGTTGTCTCGTAGTTTTAGTTAAGAACTCATACAATAAATAAGCCATTTATTTATATATAAAATCTCTTCCCCACTCTATTGCCTTTTGGTTCTTTTAAAAAACTCAAAGTATTTATGCTAGAATCCCTTAAGAAGCAGTATTTAGACTTTTTTGGCTTTTTGATGTGCAATAGTAGTTTGACTTGTGATGACCATGTGCCTAAACACATCTCTGTACTTATTTTTCCTCCTGAACTTCTCAAAGGTGATATTTAGTTTAGTTTCATACAGCACTTTAGATCTGTCAACAGTGATAACGTATACAGTACTATATAATTATTGAGTCTGAGTTAAACCTTCTAGACTTTATCTATATCCACGAAAAATCACTTGGCATTAAGCCACTCAAACCAATTTTTTTTTCACTGCCTGTGTTTTGATTTTTTTACTTTAGCTACTGCTCAAAATGAAACACCTGGGAGTTTAATTATCTTGCTCTGTGTAAGGTATTTATAGATATTAATCTATTTGGTAGCATGGATAATAGAATGAGCTTGATTCTTGCTACTGATTTAATACTTAAGAATGTAAAACTCACTCTGGTCATGGTCTACTGAAGTTACATCACTTCCCAAACATATTCTTCAGAGTATTCTTGTGCTCACAGTTTCATTCACATTGGTAGCCTTTCTTGTAAACTTATATCCTTTCAGACGATCTACAAATGTAGTGTGTGAGCTGATACACAGGCCCATGAAGAATTGGCATCTCTACACTAGTAGCTATGCTTATATTTGGTATTTTAGATGCCCTGTTCTCTTTTCTCTGAGAGGATCCAACATACTCTTTTGGATGATTGCAACTCTAACTGGAAAGCAGTAGGTATTGTCAGTATTTGCTCACGCTTCTGTTCCATATGTATTGCAGTAACATTGTACTACAAGATCATCTTCCTTCAGGAGTTTGCATCTGGCTCAGTTTTTAGTTCATTTTTTCCTAATGGTGAAGTTATTTGTTCTCCAGCTGCTGTACCTTGGATGAGAGCTATTTGACTGAAAGTAGCTGAGAAATTGTCCAGAAAAAATTCTCAGAAATGATAGAAGTAAGTTCTTCTTCATGCCAAATGAAGTGGTACAACACCTATTATTTGAGTCTACACAATTTGTTCCATTTTTTTGTTCTGGGTTATCTATTCATTTTCACATTGGGTTTATAGTTGAGATGGAATATTTATGCGTATAAGGCTACATGATCACAGCATTTTCTTTAGATATGAGCCACCTTTGTTGCCCTTCAGCTGATTAACACAGTATGGTTAAAGTTATAGGCAAAGAAGAAATACCAGCTGAACTTACTCTTTTTAGCATTTTACACGTGGAAAGCATCAGTTATTTTAGCTTGTATAACATATAGAGAAGATTTAGTTGTGTTTGATGAAAATTTTGTGTGCTTTGGATCCTCTGTTGTTTCTACATACTTTATACCACAAGGTCAAGAGAAATTAACTGCATGACGCTCAGGTTTTCTGAAGCTGGGATGCTGGTGACACAGAATTGTTACAATGTGGCCTTTCCTCTTTCAGCACTTGGAGCAATATTCCAAATGGTGTTTCCTTTGGTCTGTTTTCCTGGAGGGTGGACAATTTAAGCTTAGTACTGATGATTCAGGAATTCTTTATTAATTAATTGACTTGGATTTCTTTTGTGTATTTTAAATGACTGACCTGCCTCTATGTGCTTGGAGCTGAAGGTCAATGTATGCTGATCTAAATAATGGAATACTTCATTGCAGAGCTTCCCTGTCTTTCTTGCATAATCCCTTTGAGTTTTTGAGTAGAATTTTGCCATAAAAATGACAGCTGATTGTAATATAAACAAAGAAAAATAACAGATTAGCTATGGGATAAGATTTACTACTCATACTTAAGACATGCATGGTTTTTTATAAGGGAGAGGAAAGACTGAAAAAGTTCCAAACGTAGCTTTGTTCATTTCTTCTGCTCAGAAATGTATTGTTAAAGCTTTAAAGCTTTGTATTAAAAAATCTATAATCTTATTTAAAAATAATGATTGTTTAAATGTTAATTGGACAAGCTAAAATACCTTGTTAGGTCATTTACAAATATCCAATTATTTTATTTTCAGTAATGTTTTTGTAGCCTCAAATTGAATGTAATTATAAAAATAAAGAATCAATGCACAAAAGAAATAACAGTAGGTAATTTTTGTTATATTTATTATAACTGTCTTTACAATGTGGACTTGAAAATTAATCTAGATATTAAAAATTGTGAAAGCAATATGGCCAAATAATAGTGCACATATTTTCTTCAAAGCTACGGCATAAAGAGCCTGACAATCCTCCTTTCAAGGTTGTTAGCAATAGTAACTGTTAGCTTGTAACTTGTGTTTCCTTTTAGACCCATATGGCAAAATTATGCCTCCCAGAGGTAAGTTTTTGTACTGAAGAAAGGTGCTGCAGAGAACGGGGATAACCTAAAAGCCTCCTGTATTGACAGAGCCTCAATAGAATATAAAAATCCTATGGATCACGCAGATGAGCAGAGAATTCTTGTTTGCTGGTGTTTCACGCTCACTTTGCACAGATACAAATTTCTGAACTCTCAAGCATCTTCTGAATCAATTTTACTGCCTTTATGGGAGCAGAAGAAAGGGATCACCACTTTGGAGTAATGAAATCAGTCACATATTTGACAATAATTAACAGAGTATAGCGAAGTTTTATTTCATTTATTGCCATAAAATTGTTGACTTCATATTACTTTTAGAAATACTGCTGAGCTCTAATCTGGAAAAAACATTAAGTGTTTGAGATTTCTATAAACAATTAATCTTTTCAGTTTCTGTTATGTTTTTAAAATTAAATTAAATATGAATTAAATATGATAGGCAGTGTTGTTGGAACAAACCAATTTCATTGGGACAGAATTTTTAACTTTTATTATAATTTTAAAATGTATGTTTAGGTTTCTATTCTCATCTGTATGTGTACAGTAGCTTTGTAGCCTCGCATACTGATGAAAAAAGGAAAAATTAATTTTTGTTTTTTTCAAAGAAGAAAAAAGTAAAAATTCTATACATTTCATTATGGAACATTTATAAGGTGATTTCCATGACAACCATGTAATAAGATTCATGTTTACTTTGTTTCTGAGTTCTCAATATCTTTTTAATGACTCCTGTGTAATTAAAATAGAATGCATAATTTGAGGTTACATAATATAAATCAGTTGTGTTTGCATGATGTTGAATAATGTTAATACATGTACATTATACTGTGTAAGAGCCTTACATGGATGTGTTCATTTGTTGCAGAACTGTGAGAAACTAGAAAATAATTTTGATGACATCAAGCACACAACTCTTAGTGAGCGAGGAGCACTTCGAGAAGCAATGAGGTAAGTCTGGGTCACCATAGCAACAGTCACAGATGTGGTAAAGAAAGAGTCATTCTTCATTATTGGGGGAACAAATGAGTTCATTGCCACCATTCAGCTCTATTCTCTAAGGTATTAATTTGTCAGTGGAGAGGCTTCCCTTGAGGCTGTACTTTGGTTTTGAAGCCGCATAAATGTTAAGCCTGACTGCACAGTAAAAAACGTAAATGTTTAATTTGTTATTTAAAATGCTTAAGGGGTGCCTTGCTTTATATTTATACTAAACTGTGAGTGAATGAAAATATTGTTCATCTGAATTCTGTAAGTGTTAAAGCAATTGTACAATGCCGTTTGAACAAACCTGTGTTTACTTTTAAATTGGATTCGATTTTTATGTATGTACTCTGATTTTATCACCAGATTTACAAGGTTTTGGTTTTGCTAATGGAACGTTAAAATCTATCTGGTCCTTCATACGTTGTAGAGATGTATATTTTGCTTGATATCCTTATATCATTACACCTAATGCTTATTAGAGGAGGTTAAAATTAGTCAGTACATGAATCTTTTGTCACCCTTACTTACACTGTAGAGTATCTGGATACAGGACTCCAAAGAAATTTGCCAGCTGTAGTACCTGGAAAAGGGTATGATTACTATGCTGAAAGGTGGTGGAATCAAAGACACATTTTTTCAGAAGTAACTCACTGAATAACCATGAAGATGTTAATTATAGTATTATCTGTGGATCAGAAAATTGTGATAACCTGTACTTTTAAAGGTTTTGAAAGTTGGATACTAAAATGTAATGATGCAAACGTAGTGGTTAATTTCACTTGCCTGATATCAGAGTAACTTCTTGGACTTGCACTAGAGCAGTAAAAATTAAAAACAACAAAAAATATTGAGAATCATCTTGAAAAACTAATTATACACTCATTTGCTTTGGTTGTATTCATAATCCCTTTAAATTTATGGATATGTGTAAATGACATTATTTGCATGACTTTACATTCATAACACTCTTGTGTTGTACACTGCTATGAATAAGTATTTGTAAAGGTGTTCTGACTTGAAATGCAACGTGCTTCTTTGGAAGTCTTTCTTAGTACCTCTTATTCTTTCCTTTCTGAACATTTCAACATTATAGTGTTGCAAATAACTGTAGAAATAATGGCATTCATGTTTCTAATTGTGATTTCTTGCTTTTGCTTGTTTTGCTTCATACACTTAGGGTTTTCTCCCTATGTGGTTGATCATCTATGTACATAAATCTTTCATGTAGTACTAGTAAATGGAAAGTGATTTAAAATAAAGATTTGGGGAACTTTTGGCATAGGAAGCTACTTTTAGTGTTTTCAACAAATTGGATTTCAAGTTGCTACTCTCCTGTAACAGCGTTCCATAGGTAGACTTGCAGTGTTTTGTGATACATGACTCAGCAGAGTTAATCTTTTAAAAACTTGAGAACTGACAGCTCTTCAGTGATAAACATTTGCTAGCAAAGGGAGCTTTAGCATTTCAAAGGTCATGTTTCTGCTACAAGGACTGTGTAGAAGATTCTCATGATTGTATGCTGTGCACACAATAAAAAGCACTTTACTACCTCATAAATTTGTATCCTGGCTATTTCTGGTAGTGTACAAGCCATTCTGAGAAATAGTTATTGATTGTGAAGTGTGACAGATATTGTGCAGTCCTGGAATTCTCTTAATTGCAGTCAATATGATATGGTTGATTTTTTTTTTCTTAGTTGCTTTTATGGAGGTAAAGAGAATACCTGACTTACTAAATTAAGACTGTAGTATATTTTTATAATGTGCTTGAATAACACATAAAAGGTGCAGAATGTTAATTTAGTGAGGTATATGCATGTAGGTGTACGTATTTTTCTAAATGTCTGTAAAAGAGACTTGTTATTTTAGGTTGTACAGTCCTTTCAACTGCTACATGGTCACCCCGTATCCTTGGTGTCTGCATTTTTCTATTTGGATCCCAAGATTGTCTCTAGCATAGATAATTCAAATAGTACATTTTGACAGACTAAAGTTCACTTTGCTTTCCCATAACTATAGCAGACATTGGACTAGATGTGGGAGGAGAGATTTTCTGGCCTCAGTATTGTGAGGTACCTGCCTCCTTTTGCTAAAGGAAGCGTGTGGAGAGGGTTGCACATTGCACAAAGGCACTAAAATCATGTGGGCATGAAAACAACAACAACAAAAAAAATCCTAGTTGGATAGCTAAGCGGATGTATGTGGATCTCAGATGAGCCTTAAGTTGAGTGGGCAGTATGCCCAAATCCTCTCTGATTTCCCAGAGTGGTACTACTGGTCTGCCAGATGAGAGATACAATGAACATTTTTCCCCAGTGCTCCTGTTTGGAACGAGACTTTCCATTTTAACTTTTTCTTTGAGAAAAATGGTCAATTTAATATAGGTTTCAGTACATTTCTAGTCTGAATATCACAGTGCTCTGCATAAACAAACACTAATATCCAAGAAGGGTCTTGTTCTTTTTCCAGCTCTTCAGAAATTGAATGGTATTCAAATTAAGGATTATGTGAAAATAATATTTTTTGTTTATTTATGTAGAGATGTGCATAATAAACTTTCTGAAGGGTTTTGAAATTTACAGAAAACCTATGAACTTTCTCTAGTTGAACTTCACATACTATTTTAGACCTTGAGTGAGATAACGAGCTGATAGTAGTTTGCCATTACTCGGTGTATAAAAAGTAGTATTGTAAGAATTTGGCTTACTTATGATTGCATATAAAATCATAAAGCATTCAATTCAGTTAATGTTTTGCTTATTTTGTTAATGTAATCCAAATGGTTTATTTGTTATTATATATTATTGTAACTGCAAAGCTTAAGTAAACAATAAAAATACATTAGTTTTTTGAATTGGGGTTTATAAATGGACAGACTGTTCCTTTACAAGCCTTGAATGTGTATACAATAATTTAATTGGGTATTTTAGGTAGTAACTTGACAGAAAAATAGCATAGACATATACCTGTAATGTCAGCTTGCATAAGTAAGAGCATTAAGCTTTTGTTGAACAGGGCTCAATTTGTTCTTAATATATAATCACTGTAAAAAATCTGGATCCTGATCCTCAGTAAAGCTTCATCTAGAAATTTAAAGGAGCTTTTAGACTGGTTTGGCTGCTACAAGGAAATAAGCATTTGAGGAGTAGGAAGTGGCATAGCTAACGGTATGCTGACCCTGGTAGTTTTTTATAGGTGGCAAAACCAGACTGTGGACTGCTGCAGTAACCGTTCTGTGAAAGTAGGGTAAGGTAGCCTTGAGGAGCCTTAAAAGCAAAAAACCACAATGCCCCCCTCAAATCATAAAGTACCTTTTGGTAGAAGTGTGGAAGAAATCCAAAACTAATTATTAATGTCAATTTAGAAGAAGACATGATTTAGGGAGTTACTGCATTTAACAAGGTGAAGGACAAATTATTTCAGAAAGCAACAGACATCAGCTGGCAGGAAGGGATATTTTTTTCCAGTTAATCCATTCATTCACTTTGTGTACAGGTACCAGACAGAGAGAATCACAGGCTCACTGAAGTTGGAAGGGACCATTGGAGATGATCTAGACCGGTGGTCTCCAAACTTCGTTGGTTGTGCACCAGCAAAATGTTTTTGGGCATGCAGCCCCAATATGTGTATGTTTATTTCTTTATTAATTATATATATGTAGCACTGTACTAATATATTATGTGCATTATAAAACACACACAAGAATATAAATTTTAAAAAAAGATGGATAAAGATTAAATAAACACTGTTTAATTAAAAAAAAAAATATTTATAAAAAATATTTTCTTCCCACATCCAAGTGGATTGTCTTGCATACACTCCACTTTGGAGATCACTGATCTAGATCAGCTTTCCTGCTCAGAGCAGGGTTAAGTAGAACATGTTGCTCAGGGCTGTGTCCAGACAGGTTTAGTATATCTCCAAGGACGTAGACTTCAGACTCTTTGGGCAAACATCCTCACAATAAAGAACAGCAAAGCCCAAACAAAGAACTCCCAACAACACTCCACCCCCCCTCCCCCCCCTTTTTTTTTTAAACTATAATTCCTTAGATTTGTCCCTGTTTTTTCTTGCCCTTTCATTGGACATCACCAAGAAGAGTCTGACTCTGTTGTCTTTTTTCCCTCCCCCCTCCCATCAGGTTTTTATATATATTGATAAGATCCCCTCCAGACCTTCTCTGTTTGAGGCTAAATGTCCCCAGCACTATCAGCTTCTCCTGTGTGACAGATGCTCTGATCCCTTAATCACCTCTGTGGCCCTTTGCTGGACTCGTTCTGGTATGTCCTTGTCTCTCTTGTCCTGGGGAGCCCAGCACAGCAGCACAGGACACAGCTCTCGCTTGTGCGCTCTCTCTCTCTCTCTCGGGTCCTACTTGTAGGTGAATATCTGCAGTCTATCTTATGAACATTGATGGAATTAGTATGTGAGAAAGCTTTGCAAGTGAAAATTAAATCTGAGTATTTTTGTATAGACTTCTTATTAATAAAGGAAGATTTATACATATTTCTTTGTATTTCAAAGTAAGAAAGGAGAGAGAAAAGTTTGCTTGTCTGTTTGGATCAGTGTAAGAAGACACCAAAGTTAATTGGGAACTTTCTTTTGCGTTTATATATTTGCATATGGTTTTGGATAACGTGAACATGGGAATGAGGCTTCAACTGTGATTTCCAGTGTGATAGAAACAGTTTCTGTTCATGAAGGTATTCACTGTTATCTTGACAACTGTATAAGCTGGGGTTAGTAATAATCAAACTTCTTTTCACAGAATCACAGAATGTTAGAGATTGGAAGGGACCTCGAAAGATCATCCAGTCCAATCCCCCTGCCGGAGCAGGAACCTAAATGAAATTACACAGGAAGGCGTCCAGGCGGGTTTTGAATGTCTCCAGAGAAGGAGACTCCACAACCTCCCTGGGCAGCCTGTTCCAGTGCTCTGTCACCCTCACTGTAAAGAAGTTTCTT